AATTGCTCCAGGAAATTTACCAGAATCATCACAGCCTGAATGACATTGACAACAATCAAATCATTCAGTACATTACACAATAATAAAAGACACGCTATGTATTTTATATAAACTATAATAGAGATAATTTTCTATATTATTTTAACTAGAGACCACTTGATTGTTCATTTCCTCTCTATAACATGATAATGTTCCACATCCCTGACTACTGATTGCAATAAAATATATTTTTATACTTGTTTAGTATTCCCAGTACCAATGTCAGTGTTTTAGTTTCAGTTTTAGTATTTTGTGCAGATTGGTAGGGCAAATATCTCAATTTTACCTTAGTTCTCCATATACATGCAACAACTTTATGGCTTCTGCAAAATACTTATAAAGGACTGTTTTTAAACTAAATGAAAAAGGTTCTTTCATATTTTAAATGAGTGTTTAAAATAAACATTAACCATTGACAATTATGGCATCATTGGGAAGATTTTAGAATTGCTGGAAGCCCGAACACATTATGGTAATAGAATAGTTTTAATTTACACTCAGAATAACCCTGGTGCTGAAAGTCCATATCTTAGCAAAGTTTAACGTAACTGTCAACAACAAGCAACAAGCTATAACTGGACTACATATATACTCAAAGATAAAAGAAGTCTGACAAGGTCAAACTGATAGAACTTCTACCATAATGGAAACAGTTAACTTGAAACCTAAATCAATATTGAATATGCTCTCAGACCAGCACCAAATAAAATATCATACATCGTTAACTATTATCCAGAAAAGATAGTAACAAATCAACATCAATCAATTGTAAATCAAAACTCTTAACATTTTGTACTCTGTTATTTACCGAGTTCATATTTTTCATAAGTACATCATAGAGAACTATTCCTGCTAAATTGGAATATTTCAAAGCTATCATGCTGAATAGACACCATGACAAATATACTGATGTGAATCTATGTGATTTATCAAAATGAATGATTTCTGAAAATTTATTGGAAGCAAAATATTTTAGATAAAAAATAACAGGGCTTTTAGAAAGCTGAATGGATTAGTGGGGAAAAAGAACTGATAAACCGTAAATATGACATAGATATGAAGTTATAAAAATAGAAGTAAATTGCTGTAGGGATGTCTATGATAGGTCTATATTATATAATGATCAACATCTCACCTGTTCCTGCGAGCCATCAGGATATTCCACGTTACAATTAGAATTATAACAATAATCAAATGTAAATTGTTTGATTCTTTCACGGCTATCTCCATATGGATTGTTAACATCAACCTACAATATATGAATAAAAATAATTCATATAAAGAAACAACTACAGTCATCTTGATTAAAATAGTTTAGCTAGTGCTACTTTTAAAGAAAATACAAAGTTTATTTCTTACGACAATTTACAATCTTCATTCAGTTCACAAAATAATTTGAAGGGTTTACTGAATGGTATGACAAATTTTTTATAAATATAGTTTCATAGCTTAATCTTTCACCTAAACTCAAGTGTGAATATTAACAAGGCTCTTTAAATTCCTTAAGACATTTGATAGCAATTTATCAACATGTAATCAACTAATTACTTATCTTTAATTACTTAACATCTTTAATTATCAAAGGTAAAAAGGTCAAAGTATGAAATATAAGGAACGCTTGTCTGTGCACTATATTTATAATTTTAGTCTCATTGTTTTATAGATAGATTTCAAAATCTAAAGGTAGATCATGGATGCAAATTCTGAAATCGACTTGATCTGACCATTGATCAGATTATATTAGATGCAGCCATTGAATCGAAAATCCATTTGCTCCAAAAACTTGCCAGTTACAAGCCAAGGTTAACCTGAACAATTCTTTCAATCGTTGACTTTATTGGCTCAGTTTTGAAATGAAAATCATCTCAAAGACCAATTGTTGCCAGCATTATAAAACAGGGAACCAACAAGGTAGTCCTACATACACCCAGTATTTTTCCTAGGTTTCAAGGTTAAAGAATCAAGTCACTGCCAAATTCAGAGCATTTTACAATAGTCTAAAAATTTGGATTATTGAATACCAGAGATTGGATTAGACCAGATTAGAGATTAACCTCAACTAACAGGATTAGTAGATGAACTGGGTAACCTGAAATCAGGGATAAATTAAAAGGGTTTACGTTTGCTTCTAATCCAGATAGAAATTAAACACCTGTCCCCTTCCTGAAGTCTAGGTATAGGATGTCCAAGCGATTGTCTAATCATTTGCTTTTCCAGCTAGTAGACCCCAATTTCAGCTACATCACTTTTACAAACCAAAATTTGACTCTTACAGTTGGACAACAAAGAACCATGGAAATTTAGGCTGTTGTCATTTCCAGCCTGTTATGAATTTTCTTACTGGTACATGTACATTATTACCAATAATACTCCTCAGGGAGAATTGTAATAAATTACCTGGATATGACTACAGTCTAAATCACCACTGCAAGAGTTTTGAGAACAGGATTCAGCTAGCAAAGCAAATATTTAGTTATTTCTTTGAACAAATCTTCCTTCCCAAAAAATTGAGGGCTATGTCAAACTTTATGATAGGATTGCCATATTGATAAACCAAATGTCCAGATTGTTCAGTTAATTTATATGGTAATTTATAATCAGTATAAATTTAATACCAGATGTATCCAGCCCACCTTCCTACTTCCTAATGATAAGAAATCAGAAGACCAGCTGAGAGTGAGGTCTTTGTGAAATTTGATCCCCAATATAAAATAAACTCTGCGGTAGTAGAGATAAAAAAAAACTTATGGCACTTTCTATTTTTGATGTGCTTTCATTCCTGTTCCTAGATACTGCCTCCAGCTTTCCAAAGGATAACCTGAACATTTTTTTTTGGGGGGGGGGGGGGGGGGGGGGGGGCCTTCTGCCCCCCTTTGGAAATTTTTTTTTAAAAAAAAAAAAATAATTTGGGCCCCGGGACCCAAGGGGTTTTTTCCCCCCAAATTTCAAAAGGAAAAATTTTTTCAGAATCCCGGGAAACGGAAAACCTTTTCAAAAAAAAAAAAACTTTTTTTAAAAAATTTTTCAAAAAAAAAATTCCCTTTAATTTTGGGAACCCCCCCCCCCTTTTTTTCCCCCCCCCAAAATTTTTCCCCCTTTTTTTTTTTCCCGGGGAAAAATTAAAAGGGGTCCTTTCCCCAAAAAAAGGGGCAAAAAAAATTTTAAAAAACCCGGATTTTAATTTTTTGTTAAAAAATTTTGGGCAAAAAACCCCCAATTTGAACTTTTGGGAAAAAAACGGTTCCCCCCCCGGTTTAAAAATTCCCCCAAATTTTTTTTATTTTTTGGGGAAATTTTTCCCTTGGGGGGGGCCAAAAAAACCT